ATTAAACTGGCAAACTAAAAATGTTTAGATTATTTATTATTAAAAAATTATTACTGGGTACGTATTTGAAATACATTTGAAAAACAAGATTCGTAAGACAATTGTATTTTGTATTTCATACAATTAAGCATTTACAAATATTTTGTACTCCAGTATTAATAACGAAAGATTGAAAATATTTTGCATTTTGTATTTCAAATACTAAGATAGACAATTAATCTTATTTTTGAAAAATACAAAAAAAAATTAATTTTAAACACACAAAAATCAATTTTTAGTACAAAATACGTAATACATTCATGTGATCCACTAAAGTACAAAACACAAAATACATTTGTATTGCAAATACATAATGTGTTTTAAATAGAAGTATTTTAAATACATTTCAGGGTCCGGCTCTGAAAAAAAGTACACATGTATAAATTCATAAAATAAATATATACAAAAGAACTAACAATATTGTACATTAAAATGATTCAGTAATGTTTTCGAAATGACGATCATCTGAATTTGCCAATAATCACAGAGCTTTTGAAAACTACTACACACACTTTTGAATATTAATAATTATAACCAAATCTATGAAGATAAATTGTTTTAGAAAAATAGCCATCCATGTCGAAATCTTTTAAATTCTAAATACAGTATTATGAAACCATTCAACTAAATTTTCAACTATTATACAATGTTTATTTAAAAAAATTTATAAATATATATATGTATCTTTCATATTATTTTTATGCTAATAAAAATAACGGATTTCTTCTACAGAGATATCCCTATTTTTTTTACTTTATTTTATTCTATCCATTTATTTTATAAAATAATAGCTAGTTCAGTTTCAATAACTTTCTGATCACTTTGCATATACATAGGGTGAATCAGAGTAGTTGAACCAGTTTTTTATCCTATGAGAAAATTATCGACTAAGGTCCGGTTGCACCAACGTTACTTTGATTTTAAACGAGAGGTAAAACTCTTTTTATCTCTTCCTCTTTTTCGGCTTTAAAGAGAGAAGCTAAGAGTTTTAAGTCTCACTTAAAATTAAAGTACGTTGGTGCAATCGGGCCTTAGCGATATAAATCAGGGGCCCTATTCTTGGAAAGTATTACATACGAAAAACTAGGGAAATGCTATAGTATATGTAACGCATACTATAGTATTTCCCTAGTTTTTTGTATGTGGTATTTTTTAAGAATAGGGATCCAGGGCCCCATTTTTGAAAAGTATCGCATACGAAAAACTAGGGAAATACTATAGTATGCATTACATATACTATAGCGTTTCCCTAGTTTTTCGTATGCAATACTTTTGAAGAATAGGGGCCCGGATATATGGGCCGGTATTCATAGTTCTTATTTTAACACCGTCTTAAATAATGTCTTAAGTTGCTAATGCGGCCCTCTGATTGGTTCATGACATCTTAAGACTACTTAAGACGATCTTAAATGTAAGATCCGACTATGAATACCGGCCATGGATACATTGTGCGAATTGCTAGTCTGGGCGCACCGAGAAAAAGGCGCATTTTTAATATCTTTGTATAATAAAATCTTGTAACAATTTTCAGAACTCAAACGTGTCTGTTTTCGTGCTCATACCAGCAGTTCGCACGATGTTATCCACGCGTTCGATCTGTATCATTAAATCGATAATTAGGTGTATAGTCGATGATTTTCTTATAGAGTAAAAAACTTTTCTCATAGGTTTCAACTACTCTGATTCACCCTTATATAACGTAATAAAATGAATGCATATTATCAAATTAATATATTTATATATTACATTTGCATGATAGTGCTATAATTTTTGTCTTTTACAGAGATATTAATGGTGCACAGTCAATGAAATTAATACTTCATTATCATATTCTATTATTAGAAAATAAAAAAGTAATATATACTAAATTAAGTAAGAGCTTCTAAAGAAATTACAACAAGCACATACAAATATGTAGAAAATTGCAGTGACAACTAAATGCTGATATATGAATAGCTTGTTATTTATATGCTAATAAGAAAATATGATATTAATTACATTTTTTAATAAAATAAAATTGTAGGTACAGCAAATAATATGTAGTTTTTGTCCTAATCAATAACATGAATTATTTAAAATAGAGCTGGGATTTAGTTACACATTTCAGTCGATTTTTAGCTTGGTTGCTTGATCCCTGCCCCTTACTTCACCAACCTGCGCACAGCCTAAATGCCGATCGGTGAAGAGGTAGAAACCAAGCTGAAAATGGGCCGAAATGTGCAACTAAATCCCAGCTCTGATTTAAAAAGTTGTAATTCATACAAAAAATATAAAATTGAATAAAATGAACTTTAATAATTTTGTGTTCACTTCTTATTTAAAATCACTTGTTGAACAAGGGCAAACACATAATATGATATGTAAATATCTGGAGACACGGCAATTTTTTTTTATTAATAGTAACAGCAAATTATTTAGAATAATCAAGAGTGCTTGAACAGTCTTATTTTTTGTATTTACTAAGAAAAATTTCATGTAACCAATTTATTTTTAAGGTAGAAACCTTTTTCCATCGTTGATATCCTGCTCAACAACCTGGCATACATCCAATGTCAGAATTCTGTCGAAATTGTCTGTTTCAGAATTATTCAGTGTTACTGTACCAGCGAGGTCCAGAAATTCATTCCTGTTATAATATGATTACAATTGTACAACAAATATAAAGTTAATTTAAATTAACTTAGAAATTATGTTTCAACAGAAATAGTTATAATAATTAATTTTTACATAAAGAGAGAGAGAAAAGTATGAATTTATAAATTATCAACTCAATAAAAGAGTGTAGTGTTAATTTATTAAATATCATACCAAAGAAATAGTACTTTGTATGATATTTACATTTGCCTAATTATTAATATTCACATATTAATAGCTTAAATTACTAAAAATATAAATTTATCATAACAAATCATGGTTAATAACAAATCCTTAGTATACTTACTTATTCTCATTTCGTCGACAACTACAGATACAAGTAGCAACAAGACCGAGAAATGATAGCAGAGCACCAACTGAAACAACCCAGTAGCACCAGGCATCTTCTTCAAAGAAAGGTAGTATCATATTACAAATTTCCTACTGAGCACGGTCTCGTGTTCTAAAAATGTCCGAAATCAAGAACGATATTGTCAGTCCATAACGTGTGACATAACCTTAATGATATGGAACACACCCAGAATCACTACTGTCCACACTGTCTATCGCACTAATTTAATTTTTTACAGTAATGTTCGTCATTCGTATGATCAATATTTATTCTTTTCAAGTTGCACTTTTTTTTAAGAACTCTTAAAAAATCTATCTCTTTTTTATCAATCAGGAACGTCTAATCTAAAATAAAAATTTTAATACAAAATATTTCAACTTTTAATTTGCACACTTATGTATTACTATTTTCATAACAAATGTGCAAATCAAAAGTTGAAAAGATTTGTATTGAAATTAAAACTATATTTTCCAGCTGTTTTTCAGCTGTTTTTTTATAGTTTTATATATATTTTTGTATGTACAATGTCTTACTGTAAGAACATTCTCGTAAGATAACATTATATAGCACAGTTAAGACAGAAATTCACAAGTTAATTACGTCCGCAGATCGTATTAATATTCAATATATTGTAAGGTATATAAATTTTTCGTTATTGCATTACCTCGTTATCAAGTCATTTTTTATAAATTTCATAATAGCAGCTAAAACCCTTTACCGTCCTTTCAATTACATTCGATTTTTATCAAATTTAAACAAAGAACGTTGATCATGCCACTTGAGAATAATTGTATCTAAAATATTAAACGCCTCTCTTTACGTTCACCTCTCTTGCGTAAAACTACGTTTAGAAACTTAACCCCACATCATCCGTGAGCATCAACAGAGAGATTCCTAGATTGTAAAGGCAATTTTTCAATATAGGTAAGGGCCTGAGCACAATAGAGGAACAGGAATCAGATATTAAGATTTCAACCTATCAGAAACTGATTATATCGGAATACACGGTTTCTGATTGAAATCTTATAGCGTTTTCGGCCCGGCCAGGTTTGCACCAACCTGGGTTGGATTAATGGCGTTTTGTGCTCTCCTATTGGTAGAGCGGGTGACGTCAACCAATAGGAAAGATTAATCCAACCAAGGTTGGTACAAACCCGATCTGGGGCTCTATTCTTGAAAAGAAACATTATACGTTACGTATATTATAGTATTTCCCTAGACTTTCGTATACGTTTCTTTTCAAGAATAGAGCTCCAGATATATATTTGCTTGATATAAGAGTTTTAGGGCCTAAGCACAATAGAGGAACAGGAATTAGATATTAAGATTTCAACCTATCAAAAGCTGATTACATCGGAATACACGGTTTCTGATAGGATGAAATATTAATATCTAATTCTTGTTCCTCTATTGTGCGCAGGCCCTTAAAGTCCATATCTTGAAAATAAGCGTGCAACTGAGGTCACATTATTGAAACGGGAGGGCTCCGATTGCACACATCGCATATTGCACACATGTATCGCTGATTGGCTAATTTAAAAATAAAATAATCTCATTGGCAAAACAGTGAAAAATTACTAGGCACCAGTTGATATGAGTGGTGTGTACAATCAGAACTGTAGGCAAACGGGATCCTCACATTTAATATAATTTAAAAACTAAATCAAAGATGTTACCACTATTATCGAATTTGGAATTAAAAAAGTCTGTATTATCGACCTTGATCGAGTTGGGTAATCGGTTTAGCATGCCCTTAAGGTATATACGTGTGTACATTTAATATAATACGCAAAGCATCTTGCGATCGAAACAATTAATAATATTTAGGTGAACAGAAACTTATTTGCACAGTCACTTAGCACTTAAATTCGTATACGCATGTTAATATGCATACATAAGCGTACGAGATCTTATCTTATTGATTAAGATTTTTCTGAGCATTGTTTTTTGCAGAGTCATGGCATCTACCGTATTTATAACAAAGAAAGAAGAATCTCGAAGATACCGTTTCCGCAATTCATCGTGACTCACATATGTGTCTGCATTTTCTCATGTTGGACCCTGGAGTGTCAGCCTATATAGTACATAATCTCACACATCTGGACGGCGGCAGTCAGTGTTATCTTTATTTGCACCGGTGCGAGCTAGAACAAGTTCTCCTAAGAGCTAGTACCATCTGATACGCGGCAGTATCGCGGATATAATTAAGTACATTGCACTGTTATTCACAATCAGGTACGTCTGTTGCTTGTAACAGTATTGAATCGACAATTTCAAATAAAAGGTACAAATTTTGTAACTGTATCTTCTTACCTATGTATGTTGAAAGAAACCAGATCATTACACATTCGGTCATTATTATCAAACAAAGAAATTGCACATTAAAGTTGTTTTTTTTTTTTTAATTAATGCATGCATTTAGCATTTTGTTCTATTTTTTTTTAGAAAGAATAATTTTTAAACAATTTCATATGCGTTTGTGTTTCCTTTGTCAATAATTTGGCACGATATAAACGGCGGCAGTTACATATTATCACAAACGACAATTAGTCCCTGGTAGCAAGCTGACGTCAAAATGACGTTATTTGACGGCAAAAAGACGTCAAAATGACGTCAAAATGACGTAGCTTGCTACCTGGGGTATTATTTATAATAATGACGCAAAAGATTAATACTACAAATATATTTATAAGACAATACATTTTTATATGGCAATATCGCGAGGCCGTAATTTTTATTTAAAATCACCACTGTACATTTGAATATATCACGTTTATTACTTGTTTCAATATTAAAACGATAATTTCAGAAAGAAAAGAAAGCAAATTTTGTAATTTCATTTTCACACGTATATTAAAAGAAGCCGTTTTATCATACGTCCATTTATCACCATCAGACGAAGGAACGTTCATCAGAGTTGTGTTTTGAACGGAAGAACAGGAATCAATCTCGCGATTTTCAGGCGCAATTTTTTCTTCTCTTCTCGTTACGTAATAAATAAAATAATATCTACCGACCGTATTGTTCACATTATCTCTCAAATATGTGTTATGTTGTACGTTGTGAATTAGGCGTTCACACACTGCAATAATGTATATTCAACGAGACTCAATCCTTAGATAGATTACATCATGCATGTATCCGTTACATGTGTGAGCATTCTATTATTCGTTCCTACATTGTATGTGTAGATAAATTATCATTGAAGCTTATCAGAACGTTGATGGTTCGTGTCCCCCGCGTGTGCGTTATGCCTTCCTATCCCCACTTTATACTCACTTTATTGCTAAATGGACCGTCGAGGACTTGACGCCTATAAAGCCCCAGACACAATGTGAAGAAATAGCGATAACGATAGAAATAACACGATTTCAACTTATCAGAAATCAGATACATTGGAATATACAGTTTCTGATAGATTGAAATTGTGTTATTTCTATCGCTATCGCTATTCCTTCGCATTGTGTCTGGGACTTAAGAACCCAGACAGCACAAAATATTAAAGGTAAGCGTTCATGATGTCGCTTGTCGCTCATATTCAGCGACAAACAAGTCACGTGATTTTATATTTCGCTAACCTCGAGTGTCGCTCATATAAATGGGTTAGCAGCGATAAATTTTTGACAGTAATTATATTAATTGTGCTGTGTAAAGTGCTACAAAGTCCAAAACGTCACCTCAAAAACGGTATTATGATTGGATCAAATTGATGCGATTGTGCAGGGGTGATCCCGATTGACCACCGCTCGATTGGACACCACCAATCACAGCGACCAGGTGCCTAGGAGCTTTGTAGTCTCAAGCGTTGTGAGTGGTTCGTGTCCAATTGAACCATGTCCAACTGGGTGCCACCCCAAATTTAAAAAAATATAAAAAAAGAAATTTTGCGTTGATCCTTTATTTAATTTGAAAGACGACGTAAACATGGATTAAAAAAAATTGTTAAAAAATTATGAACGAATAACCGGTTATATATATATATCCCGTAAAATATTTGTCATGCATGAATATGTATAAATATGTATAAACATACACAACATGCATAAATATTCATAAACACCATGGCCGGTATTCATAGTCAGATCTTATATTCAAGACCGTCTTAAGTACGGTTTAAGAAGTCACGAACCAATCAGAGGGCTGCATTAACGTCTTAAGACATTACTTAGGTAGGACGGTCTTCCCACTAAACAAAATTACATTTTAGACATGTTACAACAACGTCACATTGTGACATGTGATGTTTGTTGATTTATCTCAGAAACATCTATGAAACATGCCGGCAACCCAAAATGTCCTACCTCTTTTACGTTACATTATGGAACACTGTTTCCTCTTCTTTTTCAGTAAAAATCATTTGTAATAACCAACTGAAAGTTGTTAAATAATGGAACCCTTCGAAATACTGTGCGGCATTGCCGCCGCAGTTCTCGCTCTTTATTATTTTCTCACATCAACTTTTGACTTTTGGAAGTCACGTGGTGTTCCTGGTCCACGACCGATACCAGGACTTGGCAACTTTAAAGACGTTATGTTAAATAATATATCTGCGGGTGATTATTTAACAGAAATATACAACGCTTACAAAAATGAACCATTAATTGGAATATTTGCCAGGAAGACACCCATTCTTATTGTAAAAGATCTCGATTTAATTAAGGATATTCTCATCAAAGATTTTACCAAGTTTGCCGACAGAGGATTTCCCATTCTCGAAAAAGTAAGAATACTTAAAAAGTTATTACAATATAAGTTTATGAAACATGAACAAGATATATATAATTTTTTGTTAATCCGTCTATTTTAAATCTACGCATGCGTATATTTTTATACAGTGCCCGCCAAAAGTTCTGGGCCGGCTGAATATCTCGGAAAGTATGTTTTGCAACGTCGTACTTGTGTTCGTTGTATATACACAGGTCATTTAATTGTAGTTTAACAGTTTCTATAAAAGTGGTAAACTATTTGAGTCGCAAATTCATTTCAGACTCTGTAAAAATTCATTAACTACACTTTGTTCAATATAATAAAAAATGTGTTTTATATACATACATGTATACATATAATATATATACAGGATGTCCGATAATTGTTCTGACGGAGTTCGTGGACATGTAGAGTGGACTAAACTGAGACGGAAAGTCCTTTACTATTTTGCATTATTGTCTAAACGGTCAACCAAGACAGAAATCTGCCGATGAAATTGATTCACAACATTTGCACATTTGTCTAAAAACAAAGTGGTATGTCGGTATCGGTGACCTTCCTCTATATTTAATTTTTAATTTTAATAAATGTTAACTTTATTATTTTTATTTTTACTTTTGTAAATATACATGTATAAGCATTAACAACTGGCTTGGCTCCTTAGCCTTGTTATTACAATTTATTTGAATTTATTGTAGCGTTTTGAAAAGCTTTTGATATCGGCTACTTGATTCTGGAATAAAAAATAGTGTTCAATTTAAAAAATCGACCTCGATTTGACATTGACGTCACCCAAGATCAAATTGACCAGATCATTGAATAGATCTTTTTAAACCTACAATTTTCTAAAATATTTTTCTCAAAAATGCATACTTTCCAAGATATTCAGCCAGCCCGGAATTTTTGGCGGGCACACTATATATAATTTATTAAATAAAGTAGTTTATTAAGAATCGTGAGTCTTGCTTCGAGAAGTTTCAAGAAAATTTCTTTGACTCGATAGAATTTAATTTTTAGTTAAATTTACTTTCTTACAATTTTGTTTTTTATGTTATTTGTCATATCGCAGGCAGATCCGCTGTCGCAACATCTTTTCTTTTTGGAGCCGAAAAGATGGCGACCGTTAAGAATGAAATTGTCGCCTGCATTTACATCTGGTAAATTAAAGGAAATGTTTGCCTTAATGTCAGAGTGTGCCGACCATCTTATACAATATATGGACAAAGTAACGAATACAGGCAATCCAGTAGAATGTCGTGAGTTAACAGCCAAATATACAACGGACGTTATCGGTAATTGTGTCTTCGGCATCGAAATGAACGCACTATCGGACGAGGACAGCGAATTTCGTAAGATGGGAAGGGAAGTATTCAATCCGTCCTGGATAAATATATTGCGAGTGAGAGTCAGACAAATTTTTCCATGGTTTTACAATATGTTATTTGGTTATTTCCTGCCGCAAACAAACGTTACCAAATTCTTCACACGCGTCATCGTGGAAAACATGGAATATAGAGAAACGAATAATATCATTAGGAACGACTTTATTGATATATTGCGCGAATTAAAAAACCATCCAGATAAATTGGACGGTATTGGTATGTAATCATTGTATCTGTTATTATTTATTTTTCTTATGTGTTGTAGAATATTTTATTTTTTGTAACGTGAAGACTGTACGATTGAGATTGCATGTGTTAAAAAAAACTTTATAAATTGGTAAATATTTACTACAAAGGACCCAGCTCCAATGACCTTGACTTTAACGTATTATATTGCCAAGGTTATCATCCCGAGTAATTTTGCCTTAACAACTAAGTGGCGCTCTCTTATAGTTTTTGAGATATTTAGAATTAAACTGTAATTTTAATAATAAATTTGATACTTACGGACAATCTTGGTCTTGACATATGCTTATGACCTTGAGGAAATTTTAAATGTCGGTCATTATATTCGTTAAGAAATTATTAACAAAATAAATTTTACAAATGAGTTTAATTTTGTAATAACTTTTCACGCAAGCAAGTTTCATTTCACCTCCGTCCATTCCGTCGAGGGGTGTACGACTTTTTATACGAATAGATCTTATTTCGCCTGAAAAGTCGCACGCATCTAAGCAGGGTGAGATGAATCTTGCTTTGCGTAGAAAGTTGTGCACCCCTAGGCAAGGGGAGAGATGAGGTGGACCTCGCATTGTGTGGAAAATTATATAGGTTGGGGAATTTTTATCGTTCCAGGCGGATATCTCAGAAACTAAGAGAGATACGGGAAAAAGTTTTATATAAAAGTTGTAGATATATTTTTTGGGGGGAGAAAAAAGATGGAAATAACAGATTTTGTATATGGAGCATTATCAAGGTAACATGAATTTTTCAAAGGAATAACTATTTCTTGTTGCATATTCTTGTAGCTGAAGTCGAAATGTTTTCAAAACACTAGAATAACTGTCCCAATTACTGTGCCTGTCTCTATTAGTGTGTGCTTTTGTATTTAAATAAGTCATGAAGAAAACTAGCAGGAATAAATAAGAAAAAAAATTTTTTTTGTTACGTTAAATTATTAATGTATACGATACCATAGATAATATTTATTTTGTAAATATTAAAGTATTTTAAATATTTTTCGAAAGATATGAGGAATTTATGTGAATCCAGTAATACATACCGCAAGATTTTAAGCTTGTCCCTATTAATGTGTCCTGTATTGGAGCTGAGAACGTTGTGTTATGAACGTATATTGAAATAAATATAATTGAAATAATAATTTATGTAATATTAACTTAAACAATTAACTTAAATTTATTACCTGTTTTAGTAACTATATGTTAAAATGAGTCAAATGCGGATAGGCACACAAATTGGGAGCATATTAATAGGGCCATCGTCGCTTGGAAGATTCACTAATAGGGACAAAAATATGTTTGTCCCTAAAAACATTATAAAGTATTAACATTTTTTAAATTAAAGAAATATTATAAGAAAAAGAAATAGTTGAAAAACCGATATTGATTGCAAGCAGATAAAATTAAAGCTACAATATTTAATAATTAATTCAGTAATAAGCAAATTGGCTAAAAGGCACATTAATAGGGACACTTACTCTATAGTAAAATATTTTTTCATTAAGCAATTTTTGAGTTATAAAACTTGATCTTAAAGGTATATCTTAAAAAGCGCCCACTAATCATACAGCACTATTTAAAAACTGAGTCAAAAAGTCCTGAGCTATTCTGCAATTTTTGCAATAGTTAACAAAATATTAATTTCTAAACATTGCAAAATAAGTGGATAAAATCGACACATGAGACAATTTTAAAATATCTTTAAGTAATAAATTAATCTGTGTGTGTGTGTGTTAGAAAATTAAATTATTTATTTATAACAAGGATAAAATAATATTTTAGATCCAACGGATAGTTTAATAGCTTCTCAAGCGTTCGTATTTTTCCTTGCTGGTTTTGAAACTTCATCAACCACTATTAGTAACGTACTTTATGAATTAGCATTAAATCAGGAAGTACAAGATAAGTTGCGTGAAGAAATTGACGAGGTCTATACAAAACATGATGGAAATTTAATATATGACAATATTAAAAAAATGAATTATTTAGATATGGTTTTCAAAGGTACGTCGTTTGAAAAGATAATTGAATAAGGAAATAGTACGCTATTTTTGTTTCTCTTTATTGTTTTTTTTCAAGAATATTACAGTATATGCTAATAAAAAAAAAAAACTTTAATCAAATTGTTATAGTTTTTCAATGCGCATAAATATATAATTCAACATTATTTTTAATGCAGAAACTTTACGGAAATATCCACCAGGAACAATTGTTATGAGACAATCCACATCGAGTTATACTTTTGATGGTACTAAAGTTAGTATACCGAAAGACCAAAAAGTATGGATTCCTATTTACGCGATTCATCGAGATCCGAATATTTATCCAAAACCAGATGTCTTTGATCCAGAAAGATTTAATGATGAAGCTATGCAAAGCAGGCACTCGATGTCTTACCTACCTTTCGGAGATGGCCCAAGAAATTGCATTGGTAAAGTTAAATAAATTTAAATACCATTTTTCGTTCCTCAATTTCTATATTAAACATATTTTCAATCGGAAAATATTTTTAATCGAGACTTTTAATCTCATTTATGCATTAAGAGCTTTTTTTATTTTCAGGAGCTCGTTTTGCTATTTACCAGTCTAAACTTGGGCTTACAAAGATACTTCGAAACTATAAAATCGAGACTTGTGAGAAAACTCCAATACCTTACGTAAATGATCCTAAAGCATTTATATTATCACCAAAAGGTGGATTGCACTTGAAAATGGTTAAAATTAACCGGATATAGTTTAAGTTTTTCCCTAATTCTCTATAGAAAGTATAATAAGAAATGGAAGAAATCTATCAATCAAATATGTATGAGAATTATTGCTATAATTCTTATTAATTTTTTAAATATGTATTTTTAATGTGCATCATTATTTTTCCCTAATTATTATTAGATAATTTAACTTTACATTTATGTTATTACATATTTTATTAAATCCAATCTTTCAAGATTGCTGTCTTCTTTATTAGTTGAGGTAAATATATTTTTAAGATATATTGAAGATATATATATTGAAATTAGAAATCTATAAAGTACTAAAAATTGATTGCGAATATTAAATATATGCATTAAAAATGTATTCACAATTATATGTTAGATATTTTTATAATCTGAACATTCTTTATAAAAAAAATACATGTTCGAATATATGTTTAAAGTTATAGATGTTACATCCCGATAAAATCCTCTCTTTCGTTATTATAAATATATGATTTTTATACCTTATTTTTATCTTATCTCTAGATTAGTATTTCGTCTTGGTCTTGATATTCCGTCCCTATTTTATCTTTATTTTGAAACCGAAAATTCCTTTTCTCTTTTACAGAGGGGTATATTTAGTTCTTTTATTTAAATATTCAAATCAACAGATAGATCACGTTATGTACCTTTATGCGTCACACAGATTATCTATTCTAAAGAATGTATAAGAATATCCCACGATCTTTTTCAAAGAAGCCTTTCTATAAAATAATAAATAAAAAAGTATATTAACATTATATTAGTGATAATGTATGTTACATTATCACTAATATGTTAGCGTTTAGCAATTAAGCAATTAACAGCAAAATAGAAATGCGAGGATGAATACTTTTTTCTTCTTTTTTTTTCTTCCAATAAAATTAAACTAATTCTAGATATATAATTCAGAATGTAATAGATTCGCCTCGCATAAGGATGTTTTTTAGTTAAGGAAAACCGAATTTTTATTATAAATTATTAAAACTTTCAACTATTACCTATTAAAATTAAACCTGTAGAGTGGGGAGTAGGGCCATAATCATGTATCGTGGAATACACAATACATGACTCTAATGTTTCGGAACATTATTTTCTTGTAATAACCAATATTCATTTTTTCTTTTACTTAAATCACTTTTAAATAGATAATAAAACTCTTTTATATATAAATATTTGTTGGAATTCAAATTTGGAATTCAAATTGTCTTTATAAAATGTGCAAAATATTAAATCTGTGCTTTGAGAAGCACCTCCAAATATACACCTTCACTGGATGAATCTATTAGGTACAACTAATAATGAAGATCAAAGATTTATTTATCATTTATTTATCTACAAAAATGTATCGAAGACAATGGGCATTATTCTGAGAATTTATTAAAATAAATTTTCTTTTACTAATCTCCTTATAGTGATTATTTCATTACTTATTTGTTCTCATACATTTTTACTCTACTTTTTCATACTCAAAATCACATAAAGATCATATCATCATAGAATATAACCAATGGATTAATTTTTGTTTAATAAGCTTACAACGTAATGATACAGCTGTCTCATTTAAGGAGAGAAACATCAATAATCTTAAAATCTCAAAAAATATGAATTTGATAAACATTTTTTGTTTGTCCCAGAAATAACACATTTTTATGTAACATTTTTTTAGTATTATCAAAAACAAGTAAGATATTTAAAGGGCTCAAATAAGTGAAATATTCTGACATATACATCTAAACAGTCAAATCTGTAAACAAAAATTTCTACATACAATGTCTACAAAAAATTTTATCGACACACACACACACACACACACACACACACACACACACACACACACACACACACACACACACACAAATTTTATCGACACACACACACACACAAACACGCGCGCGCGCGCGCGCGCGCACACACACACACACACACACACACACACACACGGAACAAAATATATAAAATTTTCCAATATGACGAATTGACTTTGCATACTATGGAGCGCTTGGCATACTTCATTTAAAAGATTATGAAATGACAGATTCTGCTCAACTTCCGCTGGGAATTTACTATCAGATTGTGTCAGTAGACTTTGCATAACGTAGAGACTAATGCAAACGCAGTTGATACCAATGTATTATAATACTTTGTGTGAATTTACTGACGAACATATATATTAGCAGTTTAGTTTATATAATGTTATATATATAGTGTTTATATAAATGTACATACACGCAAAAGCGTGTGCGCGCATACACACACAAAAGTTATGCATACCGCGTGTACATATAGAAAACTTACAATATATAATGTTATGAAACACGTATATAACGATAAACGTCGCATCGAATTTTTTCTTAGGGACTTTTCCTCGACTCTTCTTTTTTGCTGTATGTAACAACAATAATAACAATTTGCACGTGATAAGTAAGAGGCTGATTGGTATCACACACTATCAGGACTGCTGGATTCTTGGTCGCAACATGGCTCAGGTTCTTCTGCCTCGTCTTCATCACTTTCGCTCGGTAGACTTGACTGTTCTAATTGATATTGATTAAAACTGTGCGTTGATGTGTGATTTTGATGCTGATGATGTAGCAAGTCATGATGTTGGTAGCAATGGCGCTGATCATCAACTATTTGCTGCTGTGGAAGGTCATTGATTGATATATTACGCGATCTTCTGCGTAATCTATGATGACAGATCAGACAGAGCATCATGATCACCAAGATACTGCTGATCGCATAGACTATCGGCATCGTGTAGCTGTCTGCTGGTACGACGGTGACGCCTGCAATTTGCATCATTAAAAAGCGGTCTAAAATTTAATAATATAGAATACGTAATAAAAAATATCACAGCCCATCAATATAAATCAAAAAGTTAAATCTATGACAATGTTAAAAATAATTTGCGGTTTTAGTAACATGGATATTATAGATGTTTTGCTTGTATTTTATGAGTATGAACCCTCTACAAAAAATCGATTTTTTATGTATGCGTGTCATTGGCTACATTTACACGGCACTCTTCATCGGATTTAATGACATCCGTAGTTATGAAACTGGCCAATCACAGTCGTTCCATTCTTCCGAAGAATAGCTGTGGTTGGCCAATTTCATAACTACGGATGTTATTAAATCTGATTAAGCGTGCCGTGTAATAGAGGTTATTATTTTACATATAAAATCAATGCTATGTTTTTCATTTCATATGTAGATACAGATACACTCATTTAACGCCTTTTGTACAAAAAAGCAAAAATCTGAAAAACAAAAATTGCTGCTTAATGCCAATAAGCTCTGTGCTGCTTTTTCCTAGATTAACACCCTTTGGGTATCGTCCCATGGTCACGGAAAATGGAATCGGAAAATAAAATCGGAAAGGTGAAATTTTGAGTACGTCCAATATTTAAAAAAGAATGAATAGTGCTTGCAGGGAACAAGTAATAATTTAATAAGAGAAATGCAATATACTGATATGGAAAAATTGATTGAATATCTTCACACATGAATATATTAACAATTTATGATTTAAAAAATATTTATAAATAAAATGTAATAGATATACCGTTTTCATTATAAAGTTAGAATATCATTCTGTGTTCGCGAAAAATATGCCCCATGGAGAGCTAAACCGCTTAAAATCAAAACGGGATGATGCTGATCGGTATGCCCCTACCATTTCACCTCTCCGATTTCGTTCTCTGTATCCATGGGACAGCACCCTAAGTGCTACACTAAGGCCGGTATTAATAGGGGAAAGTGGGCGAATTGTGCGCACCTAAGGGATATTTGTTTTTTTTGGGATGGTTTTCTAAGATCAAAGCGATATAAATATGGAAATAGAAACTATAAACATTCTTCTACCATTACATATTCTTATCTTGAACAGATTTTCATTCAATGTTGTATTTGGCAAAAAGGAAAAAGTGAAAAAATTTCTTGCGCGTCGAGTAATTATGCGCAAAACAAAAGTCGTAAGAAATGGATGAATTGTGGAATGTTGACATAGAAATACATTCATTATATTGCAATATAAACATGTATTAAACATGTTTTAAATGTACATTGTATATATTAAGAAAAAATACAAAACTAATATAATAATAATGCACATAGACTTTGGCAAAATAAAATGGCAAAATAAAATAGTATGCCAAAAAGAAACGAAAAAACTAGTGCTAGTCATACAGTATATGAAAAATGGGTAATTGTGCGCATTTTAAAACGCTTGCGCACAGTTGCCCGCCGCAACTCGGTACGAAATACGATTACTTCAACAATTCCTAATCAAACTTAATAAATAACAGCTCAAAAGATGCACATAATAACGTACTTTAATAACGTAATACAATTTTAAACAAACAGATTAAAAATACGAACTTACCACCTTATTTTCTGAATACTAAAATAACAAGAAAAGATGTAATTTCACTTTTTTGTATTTCTCTGGCTAGTGATGTATTTACGTCGTATCTTTCGTAGTTATATCTTAAGAGGACGACTTCCTGCATAAAAATTTCGCTACGGTGATGTCTTCATCTATTGGAAAAGTACCAAACCAGGATGCGCACAATTACCCGCTGCGCACAGTTCCCCCACTTTCCCCTACTGCGTTCTTATTTTAAAACCATCTTAAGTACTATCTTAATATGCTAATACATTTGTTTGATTGGTTCATGACATTTTAAGACGATCTTAAATATATGAATACGTGCAGCGTATACTACAAAAAATTGTGATCCAACGGAGAAAAGAAAGAAAAACAAATACTTGTCTTTCTCTTTCCTTCAAACAGCATTAGCCAATTAGTGGGTCTCTATAATAAAGAAACAGTACAATCTCTGCATCAGAATTGTCTAGAAATTGAGGCATTCTCCTTCTTGATGCTTCAGTATATTGTATAGCTAATTGCTCCAAAAATAGTAATTAAGTGCTAAAGAGAATGTATCTAAAGTGATGGGATTACATGGTGGGCTCAGTTTACATCCTTCTCTCTTTAAAATTTGTATTATGTCGTTTCTCTACTTTTCGTTCTATACGGTTGACAACCGAAAAAAATTACGTATTTCGCTTTGTAAAGTCTGTATAACTGATATAATTGTTTCTTTATCAGACGTTCTATTATATTTTCACTTCTACGTACATACATTACTTCACTGTGCATAGTTACTACTGTGAAGGAATTATACCGTAACTGAGTATTCGGGGGTCCCAGAAATGGGGTACGAGCTGCATGGGGAACATAGAAGGAGAATAAAAAAGTATTGCATTTTGAGATATTCGCTGTAGTTTTCGAATTAAAAGATAGAATGTCTAAGATTGCATCAACATTACTTTGATTTTAAACGAGGCTTAAACTCTGTCTATCTATGTCTTTTTTTCAACTTTAAAACGAGACAGATTTTAAGTCTCGCTTAAAGTCAAAGTAACATTGGTGCAACCGGGCCTAAGCCAATATGCAGTAACGCCGCGCCGCGCTGTGCGAATTTGTACCACGGTCCATCGCGCCTCAGGGTGCGCTCCCATGGGATGCGGAATTGCGGAACGTTCATAATTGGTTGTGGCTTTATTCCGCCGATTCCGTTTCGCTAAAATGTGTTGTTCCATGTCCCATTGAGCGGAATGCGCAATTAGCTCTGATCGATTGTAAAAATCTTCCCATAGATACTTTCATTAGATCTACTAAAATAACGTTGGTCATTGGCTCGCATTGATTCCGCAAGTTCCGCTCAATGGGACATAGGAAAAAGAATCCTACGGATGAGAAATCATACATACATACAGGAACATTGCCCCGACTTCGTTTTGTGTACCCATTTTAATTTTGATTTACATTTTCGCTCTTCTGTATACTATTTATAAGACATTCGTGTTCTGATCATATTGACCTCTTCGTATTTATCTGGAGACTTAATTAATTACCTTCAGGGTTATGTTCAGATTCCCATCAGAGTTCCATCGAGGTATTACTCCATTCTTATAATTTACCGAATGTTAAACAAGAATGACATGACACTCGGAAAACAACCGGGTAGGAATCCGAACACGCCTCAGCATGTTGATTAACCATGCGCTCTTGTAAAGCCAGAATCAGACTACGCATTGAAGAATGAAATTAAAAATTGAAAGATTGATGTTCGACCAATCAGAACAAAAGGAGCCAAAATTTCTTTGTCTTAATTGGTGAAATTTCAATCTTTAATCTTTAATCTCAATCTTCAATATATAGTTTAATTCCGGTCTAAGAGACAGTTTTCTCCGTTTAAGCCAGCTTAATTGGTTAGTTTTTATAAGTATATGTATGTATGTACATGCACACGCACACACGCAGGCATTGACGGAATCCACAAAAAAAAAATAAATTTGCGCAACAGAAAACGGTGGAACCAGCGGAATGAAGCCATGACCAATCACGAATGTTCCGCAATTCCACATATCTGCAGTTCCGCTGTGTTCCGTATCCCATGGGAGCACACTTCGGTTTTCTTAGTCTCTATCCTTCATGCGTGAAACGCTGAGTTTTCCAGTACAACGATTATCGGATCTCAATAAGGACAGAACCGATCAAGTTCTAAATAGATTCAATCAACAGCTTCCACTCAAAATCTATAATAAAAGTTTAATGTCTATTACGGTCAAAGGTATAGTAATATCACAAATTAAATTGATAAGCAATTTAATAATTTGATGCTCAATCTGCCATCCTATTAGGAACATGGTAATGTATTAAAAAACTGTAAATAAATTTATTATGAAAAATATTATCTTGGCCGGGAGTCACGAACCCAGATCTTTTGTACTCCGTACGAGCGTCCTAAGCCTTTAGGGTGCTTTTTCGTGCTGACGCTCGACGCTCATTTTCAGCGTCAAAACAGGTCACGTGATCAAAATTGCTTGGTATGCAGCAATTTTTATCACGTGACCTGTTTTGACGTTCGAATCCAGCGTCGAGCGTCACCATGAAGATGTAGCCTAAAGCCCGTATCAGACTACCGACTCTGCAAGCCGACCC